CAGTCTTGAAACGCAAGAAGATCTTTCATGCAGTCTTGAAATGCAAGATCTTTCATACAGTCTTGAAACGCAAGAAGATCTTTCATACAGTCTTGAAATGCAAGAAGATCTTTCATACAGTCTTGAAATGCAAGATCTTTCATACAGTCTTGAAACGCAAGAAGAACTTTCATACAGTCTTGAAATGCCAGAAGATCTTTCATACAGTCTTGAAATGCAAGAAGATCTTACATACAGTCTTGGAATGCAAGAAGATCTTACATACAGTCTTGAAATGCAAGAAGATCTTTCATGCAGTCTTGAAATGCAAGAAGATCTTTCAAGCAGTCTTGAAATGCCAGAAGATCTTTCATACAGTCTTGAAACGCAAGAAGATCTTACATACAGTCTTGAAATGCAAGAAGATCTTTCATACAGTCTTGAAATGCAAGAAGATCTTTCATGCAGTCTTGAAATGCAAGAAGATCTTTCATACAGTCTTGAAATGCAAGAAGAACGCTAATACAGTCTTGAAATGCAAGAAGATCTTTCATACAGTCTTGAAATGCAAGAAGATCTTTCATACAGTCTTGAAATGCAAGAAGATCTTTCATACAGTCTTGAAATGCAAGAAGATCTTTCATACAGTCTTGAAATGCAAGAAGATCTTTCATACAGTCTTGAAATGCAAGAAGATCACTAATACAATCTTGAAATGCAAGAAGATCACTAATACAATCTTGAAATGCAAGAAGATCACTAATATAATCTTGAAATGCAAGAAGATCACTAATACAGTCTTGAAATGCAAGAAGATCTTTCATACAGTCTTGAAATGCAAGAAGATCACTAATGCAATCTGGAAATGCAAGAAGAACGCTAATGCAATCTGGAAATGCAAGAAGAACACTAATGCAATCTTGAAATGCAAGAAGAACGCTAATGCAATCTTGAAATGCAAGAAGAACGCTAATGCAATCTTGAAATGCAAGAAGATCTTTCATATAGTCTTGAAATGCAAGAAGATCTTTCATATAGTCTTGAAATGCAAGAAGATCTTTCATACAGTCTTGAAATGCAAGAAGATCTTTCATACAGTCTTGAAATGCAAGAAGAACGCTAATGCAATCTGGAAATGCAAGAAGAACGCTAATGCAATCTGGAAATGCAAGAAGAACACTAATGCAATCTTGAAATGCAAGAAGAACGCTAATGCAATCTTGAAATGCAAGAAGAACGCTAATGCAATCTTGAAATGCAAGAAGAACGCTAATGCAATCTGGAAATGCAAGAAGAACGCTAATGCAATCTTGAAATGCAAGAAGAACGCTAATGCAATCTTGAAATGCAAGAAGAACGCTAATGCAATCTTGAAATGCAAGAAGAACGCTAATGCAATCTTGAAATGCAAGAAGAACACTAATGCAATCTTGAAATGCAAGAAGAACGCTAATGCAATCTTGAAATGCAAGAAGAACACTAATGCAATCTTGAAATGCAAGAAGAACGCTAATGCAATCTTGAAATGCAAGAAGAACACTAATGCAATCTTGAAATGCAAGAAGAACACTAATGCAGTCTTGAAATGCAAGAAGAACGCTAATACAGTCTATAAATGAAAAAAAAAAAAAAAAAATCACTCTTACAGCCCTGAATTACAGGCTGCATGGCTGAAGCTTTCCAATATGTTTATTTCTGCATGTCTACTGGGCTCACAGCGGCTGATTGTTGTCTGTAGAGCGGGCTGACTTACGAACTTACAAGTGACAACTGCTGCCTCCATGCCAAGCCGACTATATACTGTCACCACAAGTCTCATGACATTACACTTAAGCAATGACCTAAAAGCCATCGCCGGGCGATTTAATATTTTAGAACTGTCGTTTGTATTGTCAGAAGCACACTGGACAATAGCAGAGGACTTTGTATTAGCCGCGTTGGGCAGAGTTTTCCTTGAACATCCCTTTTCTACAATTATTAACAGGTGTGCGTGCGCTAATGTGTGCATGTATTTTACAACCCATGCTTTTGTGGGGCTTTTATTTCTTGATATTCATAATATGCATATTATCATATGAATATAATATGCTTATTGATAAAATACAGCTGCAGTGTGAAAGATGGGTGTTTGGAAGGGCCGAATGTAAGACGGGCTTGCGTGCTCCATTTGTGACCTTTGAAAATAAAGTTCGTTCGTTCGTTCTGAAGTTTCTTGAGAATCTTCCGGGGGTGCATGACGTATCTGATGTGGTCCTATCTTGCAACATTATGTCTGATCCAGCCCCTAAGGAATGTTTTTTTTTCCTGCTCCCTTCAATGATCTATCGGTGTATACGTGTGTCCATTCGGGTTTTGGGTATGAGTTTGTAGACATGTACAAGGGTCTTTGCATGCAGTACGAGGTCACATTCTTCAGCCTTTTTGTCTGTGCCTGGAATTGTTGTTGTGAACGTACAGTTAGGATGTAGGTCTATGCTGTATGCCTGCCCGGCTCGCTAGCGTAGTTGGCTAAACCTGACAAACTTCTTGTGGTCCGGGTTCTTCTTCTTCTTCTTCTTGTTCACCGGCTGTGAATTCCGGCTGTAAGTCGCGGTTGTTCGTCCAAAATGGACTTTTGGCTTTTACCTTGACCTGAGTTTTGCGTGTACATCCGTTTTACTGGCTTATTTGTTTGCAGTTCTCGTTCCCCGCCTCTCCGGCAGATGTACTCCGACTTCGAGGGAAATGGTCCGGGTTAACGCCCAGGGGTAGGCAGAAAAGCCACATTTCTCCCAGATTTACGTTATCTATCATGGAATCAAGGCCGAAGGGTTGCGATATCCATAGTACCAAGCCAAAGGGTTAACAACTCATGGTTTCTGGATACTTGAAAAAAATGCTGCATGCCTAGATCCTTTCCCATGTTAAAGGGTCTTTAGAAAGGATGTCACTGTTTTTTGTGTAGAATACCTTTGATGGATGGTGAAAGCTTCGTCTTTTTGGTCGGATTTTGGGTAGGCTGTTTGATATTCTGTTCATGGGGTATGAATATAACATGCTTCATTGATGAAATACAACTGCTGTGTGAAAGATGGAAGTTTGGAAGGGCCGAATGTAAGACAGGCCTGCTAAGACAGGCCTGCGTGCCTAATTCGTAACCCTTTGAAAATAAAGTTTGTTCGTTCATTCGTTTGTTGTTGTTCATGCGTTTCTGTTAGGGCAAGTACCTTTTCTTCCTTTTGATAGCTCAAGCTCTGGAGGCCAGAAGTTGCCTCCAGCTAATGGATTGGTGTGCTTCTCATACCTCCAGTGATGATTCTAAGACCAGTGCACCGTTTCTTTCAGTTTGTGCAGGTTTGATTTGGCTGCAGTGGAGTATGATCCCATGCCATACTTCAGTTTAGGTCGTATGTATCCTGGGTGTAAAGAGAAGGTCCAAAATTCACACCCATGTGCTGCCACAAAAACAGATGCTGCTTTCTGAAGATGTTTCTTATTCTGTGTGTGCGGATGCTAGGTTATAGGTTCACAATTACAACACACCCATGGGATATTGAAATAAAGCATTTATGACGCCAAAAGATTCATCCAAAGCTACAGAAAAGTTACAACAATAAGAAGACAAAGAAGAAGAAGAAGAAGAGAAGTAGGAGAAAGGAGAATAAAAAGAAGAAGAAGAAGAAGGAGGAGGAGGAAGAGGAGGATGAGGAGGAGAAAAAGAAGGCGGAGGGGAAGAAGAAGAAGGAGGAGCAGAAGAAGGAGAAGAAACAAGAAGAAGAAGAAGAAGAAGAAGAAGCAGAAGCAGTAGAAAAAGAAGTAGCAGCAGCAGTAGAAGAAGGAGAAGAAGGTATAGACAAACACGGATATTGATAAACATGGATATAGACAAACAAGGATACAGACAAAAATGGATTTAGGCAAACATAGATATAGACAAACATGGCATTAAAAAAACTCAACAAAAACTAGGGGAATGTTATGAATAAGAAACTACACTTTTTTATTATTATTATTATTATTAATTCTATTACTATTGTCGAAATCTGAGTTTTAAAAACAAACTGAAATCAGAAGAATTAGAAGAGTAGGAGGAGGAGAAGAAGAAGAAAAGGGAGAAGAAGAATCACACAAAAAAGAAAGCAAATGCTGACAATGATAATGGTGATCTGACTGACTGACTGACTTTCTACCCCACCAGAACATCACACAAGCAATAAACACCCGATGACACAAAGTGCCACCATGTGGATGAGGATCACTGTGGAGAGGTACCAGAAACCGCGTTCGTCCTTTAGGCCATATTTATGGTCAGGCTATATTGCGGCCCCTGGCAAAGAGCCAGAGTATGGCTTCAAATAACGAAAAATTTCATCCTAGAAAGGACGATAAGTAATCAATGGTGATCTTAAATTTTATTTTTATTTTTAAGGAAGCTGCAGCGGAGAAATTAATTGATTGGCTAGTCTGAAATCACTAGCCAATTCTTTTGGCAGCTGCAACACACAGGCTGAACACCAGTGTCTGAAAATCCTTGTTGTGTTCCAAGTCACGGTCACAATCTGGTCACCTATTAACAGTGACCTCTTCACCTCACTGCCATCTTTAAATTGAGCAACTCTTTGAAATTATCTTCTTGACATACTCAACTCTTTCGGTGCCAGAACATTTGGCAGCAAATGCCAAAGTGGAGAACGCTCAGCAGAGGTACAATACAATGAATATGGTCATTTGGGTAGCCAGATTTCTTAAAATGCTGACCAGAAAAATAACCAAGATCTTAAAACTGATGTGCAGGTACAACTCAAGTTCTGGAACAAGACCAAAGTCACTGCGGAAGAACAACCAGAAATTTCTGCCGGAGTTTACAGCCGGTCAACGTCAAGAAGAAAGATATGACATTATACTTTAGTTATATTTTGTAGCTCAACTTGACTGACAAGTGACATCTTTCAACTCATCTTGACCGACACTGTATCTTAGTAACATCTTTTATCTCGTCACAGAGATAACCATTAGAAACATCTTTCAACCAACAACCATTCTTAGAAATCATCATTACTTACATCTTCTGACTCATCATACTTGACATCTTTCAACTCTTCATCACTGACATCTTCAAAATCATCGAATCCATACTCATCATAATCATTTTCTTCTTCCCCATTTTTCTTATCACCACTCTTATAACTCACTGCCTTGGAGCTTTCCTCATAATCATCTTCATACTCATCATCGTTCTTCTTGCCTCTATCTACTTTCACATTCTTTCCGCTTATCTCTTCCCTTTGTATATCTCCAGCACCCCTTTCCTCCCTCTCTTTGTAAACATCCTGGCCTTGATTGAGAAGATAAGACACATTCTCTAGCTGAGGCTCAGCGGCGGATGCTATCTGTGGCACCTCTGGACTCACTGGCCAGTTACTTTGAGGTGACAATTCCGGACTCTTTGATAAACTTCTCTGAGGTGATATCTTTTCTGGGCTCTCTGATAAGCTCCTTTGGGATAACACCTTTGGACTTTCTGATAAACTTCTATGGGAGAACATCTTCTCTGAACTTTCTGACATGCTTCTTTGAGACATCTTATCTGGACTCTTTGATAAACTCCTCTGAGGTGACACCTTCTCTGGACTCTCTGATAAACTTCTATGAGATGACATCTTATCTGGACTTTTTGATAAGCTCCTCTGAGGCAAAACTTCTGAACCCCTCACTAAATTGTGTGGAGTTGACATCTTCTCTAGACTTCTCAATGAACTCCTCGGAGGCAATATCTTCTCCTGACCCTTCATTACACTCCTCAAATTTCCTTTAGCATCCACCTCTTTGTTAATAACTTTCTGCAGATCCTCATAATTTAAAACAGAGCCCTTCTCTCCAACAAATCCACGATCTACACCTCCTGCCGTTTTCTTGACTGATTCTAATTTTGAAGAAACCAGTATCTCTTGGCTATAACCATCGCCAGCACCTGCTGCTTTCACAAGTGGCTCCATCTGCTCTCTGGGCAACGCTGTTTCTGGGTCGCTGGTATCCACCATGAACTCTGACTTGTACATGTGATTGGCAATCTCTTCGTTAATGACTTCTACTTCTGCTGCTACGTCTGCTAGACAGTCTGAGAGGATCTCATCAGAAATTCTGTTATAAAGAAAGAAATGCAAATGTGGGTATGACAGTTGACATGTGTGGTGTGTAGGTGAAAGTGGATATGCGGAGTAATAGGGGCTATGTGGATGTTGGTATGACAGTTGACATGTGTGGTGTGTAGGTGAAAGTGGATATGCGGAGTAATAGGGGCTTTGTGGATGTTGGTATGACAGTTGACATGTGTGGTGTGTAGGTGAAAGTGGATATGCGGAATGATAGGGGCTATGTGGATGATAGTGAGAATCATTGAAAGTGGGTGTATGGATGACAGCAGTTGTGTGGATGACAGCAGTTGTGTGGATGATAGTGGGTGTTTGGGACAGATTGAGTGTGAGCAGACGTGTGAGTGGGTGGTTTTCTGTGTGACAGTGGGTGTGTGGATGAAACTTGGTGGGTGGATAAGACTTATGTGGGTGGAAATGTCTATGTCTGGATGCATAGTGTGTGGATGGAAGTGCATGTGTCTGAAAAGAGAGGAAACAACGGTCTGCATACAAATAAACAGATCTATAAAACAGACAAAAATTCAAAATCTAGAACAAGACGAAAGTCCACAATTGGACGAACAACAAGAGCTTAATGACTTATGAAACAAACCCATAACTTCCATAGAACTAGCCACAGAAAACATATCAAGACAAGTTTTTTTAATTTTTTTTTTAAATTATTTTGGATGAAAACCCAAACCAACAACAAACACACAGAACTTACTCTTCCACCAGTCTCCATGGATCAAACTTCCCCGCTGGATGATGTGATCGCTTCTTCAGGTATCTCTCAAACTTCTCCCTGTCGGCAACAATCTGCTCCACGGCTGTTTGCTTTACAGTCACCAGTCGTCTGGGCTTTTTCAACTGGACCAACGATGGCTCAGGTTGAAGGTCATCCTGCACTCTATGGTCGACAGTATGAAGATATCTTACCCTAGAACCAACTGTAGGCTTGGTGAAGATTACTGGCTCATCACTCCATTCGTTTATAATATATCTGTTGATTACAACATAAAAATCAACATCATAAGTGAGCATCTGCGTGTGGGTTCTGGGGCCCCATTGTGGGAGAAACAAGAACAGACCCACTGCCACCCCCCCCCCCCCCACCACAACAAGCATGTCACAAGAGTCGACTAATTGGGTGCTTCCTTTGAAAGAGTGCATCTGCCTGAGAGGCAAGGAACCAACAGTCTGCATACAAATAAGCTAGGTCTGTAAAATAAATGTGTACGCAACACTCCAGGTTCTGGAACTGGACTAAAGTCAAGAGGTGGATGAACAACCAGAACTTTCCACCAGAATTTACAGCCGGTAGGTGAATATGAAGAAGAAGATAAGTGATTTTTGGACAGATCAACGGTAGAAGAGACAGAGACAGGCGAAGAGAGATGTTTGACGGCCATAGCAATGAAACTATCTTGCTGACACTGAGGTTGCTACGGCTGGTCCAGTACTGGGCAGAAGTGATGTTATCAATGCCTTACTCTACACTTACCATAACAAGGAGCACGCCAAAGGACATGACTCCGTATCCCTGTCTAGACTGATGGACACAGGGGTGCCGCCTGGAGCTGCATGAAATGAACATTTCACTAAGGGGACAAGACGTTTCGTTAACCAACACAGAACAGGCGTCATCAGTCGTTTTACACTTGTGGAGCTTTTGAGGAGGAGATCAGAGCACCTATGGATCTGTCCGGTGTGCTGGGATGATAATCCTTTCTAATCACTAAGTGATAGCATGGCGAAATATCATCAATGGAAGTGATTCAAAATACCCAGGACCGAGATCTGTGGACAGACATGAGTGCCTATGCCACTGGACAGGTCACATGATGATGACGATGATGATAATTCAAAACCACAGAGTGCATGGGAGACAGCGATGGGTAGGATGACTTGGCGTGAGTCGAAGGCCTATGTTCCATTAGGGAATAAAGAGCAGCAGAAGAAGAGAAAATAGGAATATAATGGTACTCATATGGTTGGATGTGTAGTGGCTATGATACTTGTATGGTTGGATGTGTAGTGGCTGTGATACTTGTATGGTTGGATGTGTAGTGGCTATGATACTGTGTATGGCTGTGATCCTTGTATGGTTGGATTTGGATGTGTAAGTGGCTGCTATGATACTTGTATGGTTGGATGTGTAGTGGCTATGATACTTTGTATGGTTGGATTGTAGTGGCTATGATTCTTGTATGGTTGGATGTGTAGTGGCTGTGATACTTGTATGGTTGGATTTGTAGTGGCTATGATAATTGTATGGCTGGATGTGTAGTGGCTGTGATACTTGTATGGCTGGATGTGTAGTGGCTGTGATAATTGTATGGCTTGATGTGAAGTGGCTGTGATACTTGCATGGCTGGATGTGTAGTGACTATGATACTTGTATGGCTGGATGTGTAGGGGCTATGATATGCTTATGGCTGGATGTGTAGGAGCTATGGTACTCATATGGCTGGATGTGTAGGGGCTATGGTACTTATATGGCTGGACGTGTAGTCAGAATAACTTCTTACATACGAAACTCATCCCATGTGGGTTACGGGACCCCATTTTGGGGAGAAAAGAACTGACCCACTACTACTTCCCTACCCCCTTATAAGAATGTCATAAAAGTCTATAACTGGGTATGTTTCCTTCAAAGTCTGAGTGCATATGTCTCAGAGGCAACAGTCTGCCGATATTTAAAACAAATGTGCACTTAAGTGGGATGACAACCAGAACTTTCTGGTAGAGTTTACAACCAGTAAAGAAACAGAAAATGAAGACGATGACGACGACAAAGAAGAAGATTATGACATAGAAGAAAAAGATGATGAGGAAGAAGACCATGACAATGAAGAAGACGATGGCAAAGAAGATGACAATGATGAAGAACAAGATGACGGCAATGGAAAACAAATTGGCAATGAAGAAGATGATGAAAATTATGACAACGAAGAAGACAATGATGATAAAGAAAACAATGAAAGAAAGAAGACAATGACGATAAAGAAGGCAACGATGATGAAGAAGACGACCATGACGAAGAAGAAAATGACGAAGAAGATGACAACAAAGAAGACAACAAAGAATATGAGGTAGAAGATGAGGATGAAGAAGACGATGATGAAGACAATGATGAAAAAGACGACGCCACAAAGAAGATAACGACAATGAAAACAATGATGAAAAAGATGGCAGCAACCAAGAAGGTGATGACGGCAAAGAAGATGATGATGACGATGAAGAATATGACGACGATGATGATGAAGAAGAGAAGATGATGATGAAGAAGATGATGATGAGGAAGAAGATGATGACAATAAAAAGATGATGATGATGAAAAAGATGATGACAACGACGAATAAGATGATGATGAAGAAGATGATGACGATGAAGAAGATAATGATGATGAAGAAGATAATGACGATGAAGATGATGACAATGAAGATGACAATGAAGAAGATGATGATGATGATGATGATGAGATGAAGAAGATGATGATGATGATGAAGATGATGATGAAGATGAAAAAGATGACGATGATGAAGATGATGATGAACATGATCATGATGAAGATGATGATGATGAAGATGACGATGATGAAGAAGATGACAAAGATAACGATGATGAAGATGAGAAAGAAGAAGAGAGGAGAAGAACAAGAGGAAAAAGAAGAAGACATATGAAACCTAGTTCTGAAACTTCAGTCTGATGCACAATTTTGCAAACATTAGACAGATGTGAGATACCTGCTTACCTGTCTGGATTGTTTGGTCTTTCTGTTTTAGACATTCGTGTGACTTCAACTGCAGGAGGGTCCAGAAATCTGTCTGACTGGATGTCACCTGAAACAAGGACAATTGAAAGGTCTAGAAAACTTGGTGTTTCAGTGTCACCTAAATATAAAACATCTGAAACATCCATAAATATTTATTACTGTAGGTCACCTAATTATAAGGTTGTGTAGACATCTTTAAATCTGTATTACTGTATACCACTTAAATATATATTTTTTTTTTTTAGACAAATTTAAATCTGTATTACTGTACGTCACCTAAATATAAGGTTTTGTAGACATATTTAAATCTATATTACTTTACGTCACCTAAATATAAGGTTTTGTAGATATATTTAAATCTGTATTACTGTACGTCACCTAAATATAAGGTTTTGTAGATATCTTTAAATCTGTATTACTGTATGTCACCTAAATATAAGGTTTTGTAGATATCTTTAAATCTGTATTACTGTATGCCACCTAAATATATTGGTTTCTTAAGACAAATTTAAATCTGTACATCACCTAAATATAAGGTTTTGTAGATATCTTTAAATATTTATTACTTTGCATCACCTAAATATAAGGTTGTATAGATATCTTCAAATCTCTATTACTGTATGCCACATAAATATATTGGGTTTTTTTTTAGACAAATTTAAATCTTTATTACTGTACATCACCCAAATATAAGGTTTTGTAAACAAATTTAAATCTGTATTACTGTACATCACCTAAAGATATGGTACATGAAACACCTTCAAATCTATTTTACAGGATGTCTCCTAAACAAAAGTTTTTAAAGACACCTTTGTTGCTGAATGTCACAAAAATATAAAAGTAAAAGACATAAAAAATCTTTTCTCTTTCAAATACTCCATAAACATCATCATCAGGTGTCTCGCCGACTGGCATGGGTGATCATGCCTCTCCACAATCTGCGATCTCTTGCAGCATGTATCAGTTCGTGTGCCAAAACATATCCATGCCATGCAACAAGACTGTCAAGCATCTTCTCTCGTTGTCTTCCTCTATCCCTCTTTCCACAGATCCTTCTAGTGGTTAAAACATGTTTTATTTTTCCTCTTCTCATAATATGGCCAAAAAATGATGACTGTCTCCTTCTGATGTCTGTGATAAGTTGTCTTCGGTCTCCTGCCTTTCTAAAAACCTCTTGATTGCTCTTTTTGGCTGTCCAAGGTATTCTAAACATTCTGCTGTAAAACCAAATCTCTGAGGCCTCAAGAAATTGTTTGGCCTGCATAGCGATTGTCCAGGATTCACAGCCATATCTTAAAACTGGATGTGTGTAGCAAGCAAGAGTTATTTTTCTAACTCTCAATGACAAGGAAATATTGTACAAGATGTTCTTCATTTTATAAAATGCAGTTTTTGCCTGTCCCATTCTGTTTCTTATCTCAGTTATGCATCTTCCATCCATGTGCCCAGATACTTAAATTTCTGTACTTGTCCTAAAATAACACCAGCGACTTTTATTACACTTTTAGGATTAATTTGTTTCTTTGATACCACCATTACTTCTGTCTTCCCTTTATTCAAACTGAGGCCCATTCTTCCACTTTCTAACACCACATTGTCTATCATTTCCTGTAGTTCTTTCTGACTTGTTGCTATCAAGACTGTGTCATCAGCATAACATAAATTGTTTATATTGTGCCCACCAACCACAATTCCGGGCATATCAATTAAAGATCTCATTATATATTCACTGTATATTGAAAACAAATCAGGTGACAGTGCATATCTTACGCATAAACACAAGATATTTAAAACATTTATAAACCTTTCTTTTTTGCTAATAAACAGCTTCCTTTCTCGGAAGCTGCAATAATTTGGTCATATCAAGCGCCACGACGGATTGAAAGAAATTACAGCAGAAGGCATGGTAACAGGAAGGAGGGGCAGGGGCCGATCGACACGAAGATGGACACAGGATATAAGTGACTCCTTGAGTTTAAAAGTACATGAGGCAAGAGAACTGGTGAGAGACCGAGTTTCTTTCAGGCAGACTGTGATGAGAGTGATGTTCTGCAAAGGACCTGCTACATGATGATGATGATAAACCATTCTTACTAATGTCACCCACATCAAAGCATACAATACTAACACTTACTGGATGCGAAAATCCTTGACTTTGGTTTTGTATCTGTATACTTCAGTGTAGACCATCTCTGTCGAATTTCTTGCTGCTCACGCTGTTGAACAGTCAAATTAAAGACCCACCACTGGGAAAACCTTAAAAAATAAACTACACACTAAACTATATAATCATCATGTGCCCTGCCAACTGGCGAAGGCGTTCATGCGTCTCCACAGATCACTATCCTTAATTACCTGGAACAGCTCTCTTAATCATATGCCATCGTTTCAGCCCATCCAGCATCGTTTCTCTTGGTCTGCCTCTACCCCTTTTTCCACTGATCTTTCCAGTTGTTATGATGTTTAATGTCTCTTTTCTCAATACCAGACCAAAGTAAACTATATCCTGGCATACAATTTTAAAAAAAATTTAAAAAACTCTCCCTGGGTCACTGAAGCAATCAAGTGCTATACACTCTGTCAACAGTAACTCAGAGATGAAATAAATAAAAATAAAACAAAAAGTCTTTAAAAAGCGTAGAAAAGAAATCAGATCGAAAAGAAGGAGCAAAAGAAAAAAAAATGGAAGAATGTGATAAATAGTAGGCGAAGAAAACAAAGAAGAGGGAGTGATGAGCTGCCGATGGAGCAGACCTGAAGAAGATGAAGAAAACAAGGAGAAAAAAAGGAAGACAATGAAGATGAGAATGAAGTTGCAAGGAAGAAGAGGGGGGTACAATAAGCAGAAAAAATTATCTTTATGGAAGGTGATTTTCACAATGAAGACTTACCCGCATCTCTGCCAGTCTCTGTTTCATATTCTCAATAGTCGGAGCATCAACGGCAGACACCGCCTCCAGCCTGATCTCTTCTCCCAGATCTGTTGCATCCAGAGGCTCATCTGTATCTGAACTGACATCTTCATCTCCTCTTGTGTCTGCAGAAGCTGTCTGTTTTCTCTGAGACAGCTGTAAAAATAGATATGCAACTTTCAAAACTTCAGCTGTTTTGGGCATATAGGGATAGGCCTATATTTTATAGACACTCGATGGGAGATGTGGTCAGCACCACACCAGTGGCCTTTACTTTCCAGGACTTAAATCTGGTGCCCATTGAAGGCTGGGTCGGCCTGGCAGCCGAGGTCATTTAAACAAAAAAGTCAGACTGTTTAGATTTGAATCCACGGCCTTCGGATCTAAAGGTGAGCCTCTATCCACTACACCATGGTAGCTCCCAAGAGAAATATCATCAAAGCCGACAGATCCACAGCTGCTGAGATTGCTCCAATAACTCTGCAAGCACATTACAACTTATCACGGTGTTCAGTGTTGATTAATCAAACATCTTGTGCCCTTAGTGAGATACTGACGTCTGGTATCTCCAGGCGGTACCTTTATATTCCACCAACCTAAACAAGGATTCGGAGCCATGCCTGTAATTTTCTTCTCTGTAAACACCTTGCATCCCACTAATAATGAGACAAGAGAAATATTATAAAGTAAGTAAATATGCAGGTGTAAAAGGAAAAGAACAAGATGAAAGCTTGCAGGGAGGGCTTCTGTGAATTGTGGATGAGCCATGGACTAGCCTCATATGTTGAATGCTTGACGAGACGTGAGATAGTCTGGTAGTCTGGTAGTCTTAGTTTCAGCTTCATAGCAAACGGGTCGCCCCATCTTTGCTCCGCTCCTGTGCCAGCGAAAAACACCCAGAATGTTTATCACAGTCCCTTGTGGAAAGATTGACAGACTGCTGTCTCAGCATATCTAGCATACACTCGCATTAACGCATATGGTAGCCATCCGAAGTGCTAACACAAACAGTCCAACATTAGAAATGTAGTTCATCATTGATGATAGCAGAACTTGTCGCCAAAAGATCAGCAGTTGCCCGGGCGATCAATTTTATACGGGTCCCGCCAGCATTGCACGACCGGCATCGCGCCATTTTCTGAATCTACAATTCACACCACGTTGGTCACAGTCGAAAAAACATTCCAAATGCAATCCGCAGCTCATAGGGTCACGCCATGCATTCAACTCAGAAGCTGGGCGACGAAACTATATCCAGTCTACAAATGGAGCAAAAATACTTCGGCCACCGTCCGGCAGAAGCAAAAAAATTTGCCTCCGCTCCGAACAGCGCCGCTGTCTAGCGTCCATTTTAACCGGAAAACGGAGACGTGAGATGTTTGCCAGAACTAAATGATGACTCATTCCTATAAGTGCTCCATTCCCATTTTGTGCACTGCTCAAAGTTACCATTCTACTGGTCCCGGTAGCAGTCTCAATGTCTCATGCATCAATTTACCACCAAGTGATGCAGAACCAGCCAGTGTGTCTGCCAGTTTTTTTTTCTCCCCAAAACACGTGCGTAACTGGAAAAATATGCAAATGAGGCTAACGACCTGGAATCTCAGAAATGGTGCTTGTGACTCTGCATAAATGACCTTTACACAGACTAAATAATAAATATTATACGTCTTGTGAATGATTCATCACCCTCATGTGCCATAATGATAATCATATGAGGTCATACTAGCTACTTCTCTCACAATCACAGAAATTATTCATCAGGTCTATCTTCACTGTACAGCCCATGCCATGTGGTCAATCCTTCAAGGTATTCATCTCTTTGTCCCTCCCTTGCTCTTTTACCATCAAGTGTGTCAGTTTTCACTAAGTTGTGTTTTTTTCCAACTTTATTTCCTCATAGAACATCTAAAGAAATCCTGACTGTCTCTCTTCTCATGTGGGTTTCAGAAGTGCAAGAAGAGACCCGTGTTCCAGCCCCTCCCCTCTCAAGCATGTCATAAAAGGTGACTAATCAGGGGCATTTCCTTTGAAGTCTGTGCATCTGCCTGAGAGGCAAGGAACCGACAGTCTACGTACAAATTAGTCAGATCTGTGAAACTGCATGCACAACTCAAGGTCTGTAATAAGACCACATTCTTGGACAAATAACCAAGAGGAAATGGACAAAAAAACAGGACTTTCTTATAGAGATTACAGTCGATGAACGTGAAGAGAGAATAATACAGCTGTCTCTTTGAATGTCAACAAATAAACAAGGAAAATTAAATAATTTAGTTTTCTAAGGAGTAACTGATAATAGACATGATGGATGGCATGCTTCGTGCTGTATTTAATAGAAGTATGACTTACTCTATGTCCTGCACCACTTCTTGGTGCTCCATCCTTACTTGCAGCCACTTTTCCCATCAGCCTCCGCAAAAGCCGATGCTCTACTTCGTCTATAAAAGAATTTGACACATCTGCTGACCTAGAGAAATTAAATAGAAAACAATTATTCAAAGCATGCTGTGTTATGACAGTTTTTTTTAAATCTCAGTACCATAAAGTACAGGTGAAGAATGATGACATGTCACTGCCAAGTGAAGAATGATGACATGTGATTGTCAGGTAAATATGATGACATGTGACTGCCAGGTGAAAAATGATGACATGTGACTGCCAGGTGAAAAATTATGGCATGTAACTGCCAGGTGAAAAATTATGGCATGTGACTGCCAGGTGAAAAATGATGACATGTGACTGCCAGGTGAAAAATGATGTCATGTGACTGCAAAGTGAAGAATGATGACATGTCACTGTCAGGTGAAAAATGAATGTGACTGCCAGGTGAAAAATGATGACATGTGACTGCCAGGTGAAAAATGATGACATGTGACTGCCAGGTGAAGAATGATGACATGTCACTGTCAGGTGAAGAATGATGACATGTCACTGCCAGGTGAAGAATGATGACATGTCACTGCCAGGTGAAGAATGATGACATGTCACTGCCATGTGAAGAATGATGACATGTCACTGCCAGGTGAAGAATGATGACATGTCACTGTCAGGTGAAGAATGATGACATGTCACTGTCAGGTGAAGAATGATGCCATGTCACTGTCAGGTGAAGAATGATGCCATGTCACTGTCAGGTGAAGAATGATGACATGTCACTGCCAGGTGAAGAATGATGACATGTCACTGCCAGGTGAAGAATGATGACATGTCACTGCCAGGTGAAGAATGATGACATGTCACTGTCAGGTGAAGAATGATGACATGTCACTGTCAGGTGAAGAATGATGACATCCATAAGTTGCCAAAATAAAGATGCATGATCTCAAAATTCTTACTTTAACTCACTTGCAGGTGCTATGCCACATGTTCTTCGTGCTGTTTAGCTTCTGCATTGCTAAAGCAAGTCTTGTTCTGACTTCCTGTGTGCAGTCGCCATTGTTGTTGTTCACTATACAGCATTACATTACCAGGCTCATGACCCTTCTTAAAAGTACCACACAGCCCTTAAAGTCTAGTTAATACAGGCAGATAAGGCAGCCCCCGTGGTGTAGCAGGTGGACGCTCACCTGCAGATCCTGAGGTTGTGGGTTCACATCCTAACAAAGCTAAACTTTTTTTTTTTAAATGACCTAGGCTCCCAGGTAGACCTAGCCTGAAATGGGTACCAGATGAAGTCCTGGGAAGTAAAGGTAGCGGCGTGGTGCTGATAAGATCATTTACTAAGTGCCAATTTTACTAAGTGCCAATTGGTCTATAAATGCCCAGAAGGCATAAAAAGGGGTTATAACTATTACAAGTCTAGTAACTATTTAAACAGCTGTAGGAATATTTATACAAACAATTCATCAAATTGTCAGAAAATGTGCAACACACTCACCTCAGCTTCTTTTCAGTGGGGAGGGAACGGAAGCCACTGCTCACAATATTCTCATCTGATTTCTTCACCTGCAGAAATGGAGGTCAGTACTCCAGCCTTAACATTCGAGATTTGAACAACAGACAACATCATGGCACACGGGTAGGGCTGGGTTTTTTTTTCACGTGGACTTGGACTTCTAGTAATTCCCCCTGGTCTTTGGGTGGTGAGACTGGATGCCCGTGTGCATTGTTGCGCATGTAAAAAATCCCTTGGCAGTTGTAAATCAAAAAGAGAAGCCTAATGGCGCTGTCCAGATAAAATTTGGAGTTAAAATTCTACCCAAATTATTTTAGAATCCTCGCTGATGCTACAGAGCATGTGCACTGTGCTGAGCTTCTTTGGACTCAGACTTAAGTAAGGAGAAGAACAGAGCACTTATGGGTTACTACCCGTGTGCCATGATGTTGGTCCATTATTCAAAGTTTATTCATTCATTGACAAAATTATGAATGTTAAATAGGGCATTGTGAATGTTAATGCAGACACTGTCCATGTTTATGCAGCAAACAAACAAATGTGAATTCATCAACAATTGATAGGGCTGACATTTGTGAGATACGTCGCCGGCATGGCAGGCCAGGCAATCACCACAATGTTCTCCAGTCACCAACGCCACGCCCCATGAAGGGCAGCAATGACTGGTTTTGAACTCATAAAAGTGATCTTTCCGTGAGGTATGGAGCTTGGTAAGTATGTATTAGATTTAGTTATCCAAGTAAGAATGTTTCATGTAAAGAATCTTGACTGATTTAATCGGATTCATGTTTTCGTTGTGGGGCAGTGTTAATTTAGACATGCAAGACTTTGACCGCTGGTAGGATCAACCAGATACATGTCGGACCACAGAGGATGTTTCACAAACACACATACAGGCTAGGGAGCCATCACTCAGTGTATCTTTCCAGCTCACTACACTCAGAGGAAAGGCAAGACAGATATATAACCAGATTCTGACTGGTTCCATCAGTCCTGGAACACTGCGCTGGCTGCTGAAGATGAGGACGGAGCACACATGGGAATGCCCCGAGTGCTGTGATGTCAATTCTCGACTCAACTCAACTCATTCCAGAGATACATGCAAGCCACTCAATGCCTTCTGGCGATCTACAAGCGTAAGCTAGCAGAACTTACACTTCCAGCTTACTGACTGCTGGCTTACACAACTCACAGAGAAACAGTGGGCCTTTATTTAACTGCCGAACATATTTCGTTCTGTTCCCCCCTCACATTGTGAGTCTGGCTTCAAACTATGGTCATATTCTAATTCTTGCTCTGGCTGGGAGATGTAGAAAGCACCATAAGCAGCATTCAGGACAGGACACAAGTACCATCAGCAATTTGCTGATGAGATATTGCAAACATGAATAATACAGACATTGAGAATATAAAAGCAGACACTATGAATGTGAATGCATATACAGAATGTGAATGTAGACATTGTGAATGTGAACAGACACTGTGAAGGTGAATGCAGACACTATGAAGGTAAATGTAGACACTGTAAAGGTAAATGCAGACACTGGGAAGGTAAATGCAGACACTGTGAAGGTAAATGCAGACACTGTGAAGGTAAATGCAGACACTGGGAAGGTAAATGCAGACACTGGGAAGGTAAATGCAGACACTGTGAAGGTAAATGCAGACACTGTGAAGGTAAATGCAGACAATGTGAAGGTAAATGCAGACACTGGGAAGGTAAATGCAGACACTGTAAAGGTAAATGCAGACACTGTGAAGGTAAATGCAGACACTGTGAAGGTAAATGCAGACACTGTGAAGGTAAATGCAGACACTGTGAAGGTAAATGCAGACACTGGGAAGGTAAATGCAGACACTATGACTGTGAATACAGACACTGTGACTGTGAATACAGACACTGTGACTGTGAATACAGACACTGTGACTGTGAATACAGACACTGTGACTGTGAATACAGACACTGTGACTGTGAATACAGACATTGTGAATGTGAATGCAGAAACAGTGAATGTGAATACAGACACTGTAATGGAAATATAGACATTGTAAACGTGAATACAGACACTGTAATGGGAATAAAGACATTGTAAATGTGAATACAGACAATATGATTGAGAATACAGACACTGTAATGTGAATGCAGATATACATACCACTGATGAATGCTTGTCAGAAAACATATGCCTAGGGATGAAAAAAAACACATTTTACAAAAGTGACCCAAAAAAAGAGCCGAAATAGTTCCATTTATGGATCAAAACAAAGTTATTTTCTATACAGGATAACAGCAGTAATTAGAAACCCTAAATGCAGCAGAAAATCAACTGACCATTAAAGATATTTATATGGGTACTTAAACTTGATCTCCTAATCTCATCCCAAGGGAATCACTATACTGGTGGGATATTATGATATCTTAATTTCAATTAAAATGTCATTTGTTCAGAATGTGACCCCCTTGAAATACTACTTTTAGTAAAAATAATCAGGTCCCGTCCTCCTGAATGTTTACGCCGGCATATATGATATCAGAGTTCTGGGTTCCAACCCCGGTAAGGGCTGGGATTTTTTTCACAATGGACATGGACTTTTAGCAATTCTCCCTGGTCTCTGGGTAGTGAGATTGGACATCTGTGTGCATTGTTGTGCACGTAAAAAATCCCTTGGCAGTTGGAAATCGAAAAGAGTAGCCTAAAGGCGCTGCTTGTGCAAAATCTGGGGTAAAAAATCTACCAAAAGTATTTCAGGATCCTGGCCAGTGTTACAAAGCCTGGGCTCTGTGCTGAGCTTCTTTGGACTTGAGTTAGAAGAAGAACGGAGCACTTCAAACCATATGGTATCAGAGCTGGTAAGTATGCTTTTCATAAAGAAGCCATGATAGCAAATCGGTAAAGTGAAATTTACAAGGAACTGGAGCCAACTGGAGAAAAGGAAGAATAAGAAAAAAGAAGAAGAAGAAGAAGAAGAAAGAAGAAAATAAGAAAGGAGAATAAGAATAAGAAGAAAAAGAAGAAGAAGAAGCAGCAGAAGAAAAAGAGGCAGCAGCAGAAGCAGAATAAGAAGAAGACGCAGAAGAAGAAGAAGAAGAAGAAGTAGAAGAAGGAAGAAGAAGAAGAAGAAGAAGAAGAAGAAGAAGAAGAAGAAGAAGAAGAAGAAGAAGAAGAAGAAGAAGAAGAAGAAGAAGAAGAAGAAGAAGAAGAAGAAAGAATAGGCAGAAAATAAGAAGTAAGAACAAAACACATAAAAGCAGTAGATGAATCAGCAGAAATAAAATAATTCCTAATTCAAAAAAAGAGATCACTGATAATGAAACTGATGCCTGAATATGTGAGGTGACGGCTTCAGTTCGAACTGTTCCTTACTTTAGCGGCTATACTGTTTTCTGTAAGTCAGCAGGTAACAAGTTCAAAGAGTCAAATCATACAACTGCCTACAAACCTAGCCTCTTCAATATCCATCTCACGCAAGTAGAACGGTGACCTTGACCGTGACTTTGGCTCTGAACTGAGTGACCTTGAGCGAGCAGACCTTCCTGGGGGTATCCATGGCATCGGTGACTGCCTGTCCAGTTCAAAGTTCACCCCTTTGTGTCTGCTTTAACAAAATATAAAAATCGGATTAGAAAAATAAACAGAACAAACCATTTTAATGTTACTATGCATCATCATCATCAACATATGCACTGCCAATAAGCATAGATAGTCATGTTTTCCCATCTCACATGATCACCAGAAACTCAGATCAGGGCAGTGCACTTGTCTTCCCCCATCCAAATGGCCAAATCATTCTTCTTCTTCTGTTTCTTCGAGTACACCAGCTAAAAACTCTGGCGGAAAGTTCTGGTTGTTCATCCACTTTTGGACTGCAGTCCTTTTCCAGAACCTGAGTGTTGCATGTGCATCCGTTTTACAGATCTGACTCATTTGTATGCAGGCTGCTGGTTCCTTGCCTCTGAGGCAGATGCACTCTGACTTTGAAGAAAGCCCCCCAATTAGTCAACTCTTACGACATGCTTTTGGGTAGGTGGTGGGTATATTCTTTTTTTTTCCTATAATAGGGCCCCGGAACCCACACGGGGAGTTAAAGCATTGAGTTATTTATATCTCTGTCTTTTCCTTGCTTTTTTCTCCATCAATCTGTCCTGTTATCACCAAACGGAAAGCTTTCCAACCAGAACACAATTTTGCAGACCCACTCAACTTCCACAGACAAAAGCAACGGACCAGTGTGGATTCCCTGTGTGGGTTCCTGTGCCCCACTGTGGGGGAAATAAGAAAAACCCATCGAACCCCAAAGCATGTTGGAAATGGCAACTAATTAAACTTGTTTCCTTCCCAGTCGGAGTGCCTCTGCCTGAGAGGTGAGGAACCAACAGTCTGCATACACATAAGCCACATCTGTGAAGTGGATGAGCATGCAACACTTAGGTTCTGGAACGAGACCAACGTCCTTAAGTGGACAATCAGAGCTTTTGCCAGAGTTTACAGCTGGTGAACGCTAAGAAGAAGGAGAAGACTGTGAACTGGACACAACAGACTCAGCAGCAATATGTACAGGAAATTCAAGACTGGAACTCAGAACTTGGCCCATGTGCACAGGCACCTATTAAAGTTAGTTTCGTATCTTTTCCAGGAAGTTTCAGAACCAACCTAGCATTTTTTGGCTGTTGTGGTTTTTTTAATCAAACTTAATGTTCAGTAGTACTGTTTTTGAGACATCAGAGCTATTATATCATTGTTTTTATTTTTTTTTATTTCTGTCACTGAAGATTAATTAATTTGTGGCTCTATCAACATGGAGGACAATTGAAACAATTACTAACAAACTACAAAAATTCACTAACTGGTGCCTGCGCAGGACATAAAATGAAATTACAGAATTACTCACGTGGAGCTTTGGGAGGGAACTAAGTAAATTCAGCAAATTCACTGAAGATTTACCAGGCTGTAGTTCTGGTTTCTGAATAATACCTGAATATATCTTTTACTGAAGACTGTACCAAGATTGTGTAGTTCTTTTATCATTGGTCTTTCCCTTAGGATTATATCAAGACTTTGTAGTTTTTTTTTACAGTATTTCTTTCTCTTAGGATTATGTTAAGCTGGAGTATTTATTTTTTCAAAATAAAGAGAGAGACAGAAAGACCTAGGCAGAGACAGAATAATATATAAAAAGAGGCAGAATAATATATAAATATATAGGGAGAGACAGAAATGGAGACAGACGAAAGAAAATAAAGAGTTTACAAAAAACAAGGCAAGAGAAGGTGAAAGAGAGACAGTGTGGGAAATAAAAAACATAGAAGAAGACACTGTGCCAAGAACAAAGTAGGCTGCAGACAAAAAAACACTGTCAAGCATGATTACAGAAAGAATACAATTGCTATTTTTTAGTAACAGACCCACCTGGCATTAACTGGAGCGGAATATGGCCTGACGGGAGATTTTTTCAAACTGGTGGCAACAGTGGAGTCGGCATATCTTCTGTCTTGGTTTGACAGTGCCACAGCTTTCTGTGCTTTCTCTCTCTTCACCTTCACATTTTAATGAACAGACAATCATTTCATGAGAAAGAAAATACATGGTGTGACTACAGACAGTGTTATATTTTGGCTGATTAATTGCTTGCTTAGCTGATTGATTCATTGGTATCTTTTCTGTGTGGGTTCCGGGGTCCCATTGAGGGGCAAAACCCAGAATAAACCCACTGCTTCCCAACAAGCATGTCATAAGAGTTGACTAAGTGGGGGCTTCCTTCAAAGTCAGAGTGCATCTGCCTGAAAGGCAAGGAACCAACAGTCTGCATACAAATAAGTCAGATCTGTAAAAATGTTGTGTATGCAACACTCAGGTTCTGAAACAAGACTAAAGTCCAGATACGTATGAACAACCAGAACTTTCTGTTGGAGTTTACAGCCAGTGAGTGTGAGGAAGAAGAAGAATATTGGTACATTGGTTTTCCGCACAGAGTTTATACATGTTACTGTCAAGAGATACCAAAAACAAATGATTTACAAATTACTTGTAGCAACTCTTTGATACCAAGATGTCAGACCCAGTCATAAGCAAGTTGCATGAGAAGAAGAGGTGAGTCTTTAGAAGAGCTGCCAATGTGAATAAAGAGAATGGCCAAATGAAAGGAGCATCATGAGACCAAACGGAATAATAAGCAAAATGAAAGAAGCCCCTAGGAGGCATCCACCATGGTATACCAGAAAACAAAACTGTGGATAAACTTGCTAAGAAAAGGGCAGGATGTGAACTGGAAGACAATGCAGTATCAGAAGTGAACAGAATGAGGCCAGAGATGACCCTTACCTACTTGACCGGCATGGGCAGGTCATCATTCTACGCCTCAGGACAAGACATAACAGACTTAACAAGCACACGCACAAGCTTTGTCTAAGTAGTTCTCCACTGTGCCCATGTGGACTGTCTGTGCAGACTACAGAACATGTCCTGCAAGAATGTCTCTTGTACAACCCATTAGGAAGGGAATACTGGCCCGCTGAGCCAACACAATACTCAAAGCTGTATGGAACTAAAAGGGAACTTTAAACAGTCAATTTAATCACTTATCTCTTGAAAGTGATTATAAAAAGAACAAAAAATTCTGCCTCTTAATATCAATAGTTCATTATTTAAAAATATAACGGTCTGCATTCATCACTCACACAGGACACTACGGTAGGCATTATCATCATCATCATGTGGCAGGTCATTTGCAGGACAGTGCTCTCATCACGGTCTGCCTGAAAGAAACTTGATAGCTCACCAGCTCTACCACCTCATGCACCTTCATATCCAAGAAGTCATTTATATCCTGCCACCTTCTTCTCTATTTGGCTTCTTTAAAAGCACATCACGCCTGATTTGTCACAGTGGTCACACTCTTCTCTTCCTTTGGGATCTCCTGACAAACCTTCTGGTAGTGAAAGAGTTAATGGGCAGACTTTGTGTTCATCAAACTGGTGGCCTTTACCTACCAGGACATTTCCTAGTACATTTTATATTAGGCTGGGTCCCATTGGGATCCAAAGTCATTTTTAAAAACATTTTCAATTCAGATCTGAATCTAAAACCTTCAGTCTGCATGATGCAATTTTAAGCATTGAGAGAGTTAAACTGACCATCAGATCATGAGGCAGAAGATAACCCTTCATGTGAGCCTGTCTGCTGGGTTGTCTGCCCATCCGTGTCTCCCTAGCAACACCGCCATTTGTGAAGTGCTCCCTGCCGTCTGCTCCAGCAGCTTTTGATTTTGCTTGAAGTAATGAAGCAACCGCTGACCTCAGCTCAGCCGGGTCTTTTCCTGCTCAGAAGACAGTGATTAAACAGAAGAATGAGTGAGCAGAAGACAGTGATTAAACAGAAGAATGAGTGAGCAGAAGACAGTGATTAAACAGAAGAATGAGTGAGCAGAAGACAGTGATTAAACAGAAGAATGAGCGAGCAGAAGACAGTGATTAAACAGAAGAATGAGTGAGCAGAAGACAGTGATTAAACAGAAGAATGAGTAAACAGAAGACAGTGATTAAACAGAAGAATGAGTGAGCAGAAGACAGTGATTAAACAGAAGAATGAGTGAGCAGAAGACAGTGATTAAACAGAAGAATGAGTGAGCAGAAGACAGTGATTAAACAGAAGAATGAGTAAACAGAAGACAGTGATTAAACAGAAGAATGAGTGAGCAGAAGACAGTGATTAAACAGAAGAATGAGCGAGCAGAAGACAGTAATTAAACAGAAGAATGAGCGAGCAGAAGACAGTGATTAAACAGAAGAATGAGTGAGCAGAAGACAGTGATTAAACAGAAGAATGAGTGAGCAGAAGACAGTGATTAAACAGAAGAATGAGTGAGCAGAAGACAGTGATTAAACAGAAGAATGAGTGAGCAGAAGACAGTGATTAAACAGAAGAATGAGTGAGCAGAAGACAGTGATTAAACAGAAGAATGAGTGAGCAGAAGACAGTGATTAAACAGAAGAAGATTAAACAGAGTGAGCGAGCAGAAGACAGTGATTAAACAGAAGAATGAGCGAGCAGAAGACAGTGATTAAACAGAAGAATGAGCGAGCAGAAGACAGTGATTAAACAGAAGAATGAGTGAGCAGAAGACAGTGATTAAACAGAAGAATGAGTGAGCAGAAGACAGTGATTAAACAGAAGAATGAGCGAGCAGAAGACAGTGATTAAACAGAAGAATGAGCGAGCAGAAGACAGTGATTAAACAGAAGAATGAGTGAGCAGAAGACAGTGATTGAAAGACAGAAGAATGAGCGAGCAGAAGACAGTGATTAAACAGAAGAATGAGCGAGCAGAAGACAGTGATTAAACAGAAGAATGAGCGAGCAGAAGACAGTGATTAAACAGAAGAATGAGCGAGCAGAAGACAGTGATTAAACAGAAGAATGAGCGAGCAGAAGACAGTGATTAAACAGAAGAATGAGCGAGCAGAAGACAGTGATTAAACAGAAGAATGAGCGAGCAGAAGACAGTGATTAAACAGAAGAATGAGTGAGCAGAAGACAGTGATTAAACAGAAGAATGAGCGAGCAGAAGACAGTGATTAAACAGAAGAATGAGCGAGCAGAAGACAGTGATTAAACAGAAGAATGAGTGAGCAGAAGACAGTGATTAAACAGAAGAATGAGTGAACAGAAGACAGTGATTAAACAGAAGAATGAATGAGCAGAAGACAGTAATTAAACAGAAGAATGAGTGAGCAGAAGACAGTGATTAAACAGAAGAATGAGTGAGCAGAAGACAGTGATTAAACAGAAGAATGAGTGAACAGAAGACAGTGATTAAACAGAAGAATGAGTGAACAGAAGACAGTGATTAAACAGAAGAATGAGTGAGCAGAAGACAGTGATTAAACAGAAGAATAAGTGAGCAGAAGACAGTGATTAAACAGAAGAATGAGTGAGCAGAAGACAGTGATTAAACAGAAGAATGAGTAAACAGAAGACAGTGATTAAACAGAAGAATGAGTAAACAGAAGACAGTGATTAAACAGAAGAATGAGTAAACAGAAGACAGTGATTAAACAGAAGAATGAGTAAACAGAAGACAGTGATTAAACAGAAGAATAAGTGAGCAGAAGACAGTGATTAAACAGAAGAATGAGTAAACAGAAGACAGTGATTAAACAGAAGAATGAGTGAGCAGAAGACAGTGATTAAACAGAAGAATGAGTAAACAGAAGACAGTGATTAAACAGAAGAATGAGTAAACAGAAGACAGTGATTAAACAGAAGAATAAGTGAGCAGAAGGCAGTGATTAAACAGAAGAATGAGTAAACAGAAGGCAGTGATTAAATAGAAGAATGAGTAAACAGAAGACAGTGATTAAACAGAAGAATGAGTAAACAGAAGACAGTAATTAAACAGAAGACAAAGGGCAAAAATAAAACCCTAACCTGCGTAGTCTGTGATGACCACACAAGCCATGCTGCCCTAAATCTCCCAGCTCAAGCCCCCCCCCCCTCCCCCCCCGACCGATACTACACTAAAAATGACAAATATTGGCAGCAAAAAAAGTTTTTTTTTTTAAATTTTTGGGGATTTTTCGTTTTTTTTTTTGGAAAAAAAAAAAGGGTGGGGGGGGGGGGGGGGTAATTTTATTATTATTACTACTACTAAACACAAAAGCCACTGTGGTCAAGTAGGTAGGCGCTCGGGTGCAGATTGGAAGGTCATAGGTTCAGTTCCTGTCGAGAGCCATAACTTTTTTTTTTAGAAAAGACCTTGGCTCCCAGATCGTATCAGTCCTAAGTGAGTACCAGATGCAGTCCTGGGAAGCAAAGGTGGCCGGCGTGATGCTGACCACATCACACACCAAGTGCCGTTTGGTCTATAAAATATAGGTCTAGCCCTATATACCCAATACGCCTGAAAGGTGTGGAAAAGGGTTCTTTACTTTTTTTGCTTCTAAATACTCTTTTCATTATTAAATTATTAAAGATATATTAGCAATATTCCAAGTGACAATGTAGGTTAGAAACGCCAGAAGTCCAGGGGCACTAACTGCTCATGGGGAAAATCGACCCTCTGCACACTACCATGAACACTACCGTGCAGGTCGTATAATGCGACTGGTTTGCTTAAATCAGTTGTGTTAAGCCAAAGGTGCCTATATTGCAGCCTAGCTGTAAACCACAACAACAACACCACTCTCTAAACCCTTTCACCCCGATCGGCAGCAAAACCGGTACTTCTGGTTGGGTCGATTCCCCATTAATGTCATTTCTTCAACTTGTCATCAATGACCACTTTATCAGACTCACAGTTAATGCTGCTGGCTGGTTTTGTGCTGCTTAAACATTTAAGAGGTAAGGAAATGAATACATTAACTAATGTTAATTGGAGGGAAAAGGTGGAAAAAGGGAGGGGGGGGGGGGTTGTTACGACATCAGTCATCAGTTGTTGTTTCAGGCTCTGGGGATTGTATTCAATTTAATGAGTCCCCCTGTTTGTTTACTGATTAATCAATTTATGTATTTTGTATATATTTACACACTAATTTTTTTCTGGAACTCCAATAGGGTCAGGGAAGGCTCACTCATGGGCCACTCAAACATCCAAGACCTACAACAGATTGCAACGAACCGCCATGCATGGAGAGTCATGACCTCTGCCCTATGTGCCGCACTCGACACAAGAGGAAAGACTAACTAACTAATAGGGTCATGACCCAATTTATTAGTGTACCCAGGACGAGAGGGTGAAGGGCATACACAGAAAAAAGTAGAAGCGGATGAAATACACTCGACACTGTCTTGTTTGCAGATACTCTCAATGTTACTGTCTTACATGTGACTATTTTGTCTCAATACTACCCTCTTATTAGGGCCGCCGTAGTGAGGCAGCTAAATGATCGCCTGCAGATCTGAAGGTCATGGGTTCAAATCCAGACGGTGCCGGATGGTGCGGGACTTTTCAAAAGTGACCCTGACACCCAAAGTGACCAAGTCTTAAATGGGTACCAGGTGAAATCCTGGGAAGTAAAGGCAGCCGGCATGATGTTTACCTCATCATCCATAGAGTGCCGATATGTCTTTAAAACATAGGCCTAGCCCTATATGCCCAATACACCTGAAGGCACGGAAAATGGTTAATTATCTCTACTGTTACTACCCTCTTGTTAGCTTTTACTTAAAATATAAGCATTATATTAATATATTCTGTCTTCTTCTTCTGCCTTTCTAGCTCCCAGTGGAGCATAGGCCCTCAACCAACTCACGCCAAGTCGTTCTATCCTTTGCTATCGCATGCAGCTCTCCCCATGTCCTCCCCATCTTTCTAACTTCATTCTCCAGCTCCCTTCTCCATATGTTTTCTGGCCTTCCTTTATTACTATGCCACTGTGGGTTCCAGTGCAAAGACATTCTGGTTATATTTTTCTCAATGTGTGTCCTATCCAACGCCAGCCTCTTTTCTTCACCTCTTGGTCCACTGGAGCCTGCTTAGTTCTCTCCCAAGGCTCTACATTAGTGATTCTATCATACCATTTATTCCCTCTGTTCTGCACAGGCACCAGTTAATGAATGTCTGTACCAATGTATTTTTTGTGGTTACTACCAATACTATTGTCTTTTAAGCAGCTACCATAACATTAATCACAAAAGTAACTAGAGGAGGCAGGATCAGAAATGACAACGTCAGGAAATTAGTTAGGATGGAACTAGTCTTTAACTACATCAAGGGACAACAGATCAAATGGTTTGGACATGTATCAAAACTACCACCACAGAATGCACAACAGAGAGCCCTGTCACTCAGATTTGATGGAAGCAGAGCCAGAGGTAGACCATGCAAGTGATGGATAGACGGAATAGCCGAGGCTGTACATAAGAGCTGCTAGGCTCTCACCTGATGCCTTTCCAAAACCTGACGCTAAAATGAAAATAGGACTTGAGAAGAAGAAGAAGAAGAAGAAGAAGAAGAAGAAGAAGAAGAAGAAGAAGAAGAAGAAGAAGAAGAAGAAGAAGAAGAAGAAGAAGAAGAAGAAGAAGAAGAAGAAGAAGAAGAAGAAGAAGAAGAAGAAGAAGAAGAAGAAGAAGAAGAAGAAGAAGAAGAAGAAGAAGAAGAAGAAGAAGAAGAAGAAGAAGAAGAAGAAGAAGAAGACCCTGACATCACAGTCTCAACACTTACCCACTGCAGAAGTTGCCCCAAAAAATCTGTTTTCTTTCCCAAAGCTTCGTTTCTGTGGTCTTCCACGTGGCACTGCCTGCCGGTGTTGTTGGCCAATCAGCTTAACAAGCTCAGCTGGATATTTCAGCTCTGTCTGATTCTTCATAACGAAAATATTTTTGTCCACCTTGGTATCACTAACCCACTCCTTGGTCACCACAGACTTTTGGTTTGTCTTGTCTGTCTGAAAGCAGACTTTTTTGGGCTCTATGCTCCATTTTGTATTCAGATTCTGTTGAGACAGACAAGCAGAGGGAAAGACTACAATTAGTTGAAGTTGAAGTTTGAACAACAGATCAACATCATGACACATGGGTAGTAACCCATAGGTGCTCCGTTCGTCTTCTAACTCAAGTCTGAGTCCGAAGAAGCTCAGCAAAGTGTACAGTTCTGTAGCACCGGCAAAGATCATAAAATACTTTGGGTAGATTTTTAACTCCAAATTTTGCCTGGGCAGCGCCGTTAGGCTATTGTTTTCAATTTTTCCAACTGCCAAGGGATTTTTTACGTGCGTAAAAATGTACGCAGGCGTCCAATCTCACTGCCCAGAGACAAAAAGTCGAAGTCCACAAGAAAAAATCCCAGCCCTTACTGGACCCTGAACTTCTAGCACTTGAGGCCGACACCATGCCTCGAGACTACGCAGCTCCCTTAGACTACATTTAATGTCAAGCAATAATCAGTATACAATCTACTCTTGCACACTGGCAACTATGGACCATGTCTAACTACAGTGAAAAGATGGAAAATGCAATGGTAAGAATATGTAACAAGATCTTGTGGGCTTTCAAAAACAATACTACAGGGTGCAGTAGAGGGGAGGAGGTTGACCAAGAAGGACCTCAGAACTTGACTGACTGAACAGGCCTTAGACATGAAACCATGAAGTCCACTGCCTCTGAAACCCAGAGGTGGAGAGAGCTTATCAGACAATCAATAGCAACTGGTGTCCCAATAACACACAGTGTTGGGGATGATGATGATGATGAATCTAGTCACAGCACTGTGGGTAGACACTTATTTGCAGATCTAAAACTGCACAATCTCCACTTCAACTCAATCAAATACTATATAGCATAAACACAACACTGACTATACAACCACAACAAAGTGTATATACATCAACTCTAAAAAATACGACTGTCAATACCAATTCTTGTTCAGCATTCCGAGCCCTACAGGTTCATTGCTGCAGATTTTGCCAGCATCCATTCATCTCTCTGGCTGGTCTTCTCTTTCTAGCTGGTGACACCAAGTGTTTGTAGGCCTGTCTGAATGACATCTCTCCATTATCTTCTTGGTCTGGCTCATGGTCTATGACCATTCAACTCCTGTGAGTACAGTTTTTACCCCTGTCATCTTACATTCTCTCAATATGCCGCAGACATTTTAGTCTGTTAGCCTTCATGATGCCAGTGATCAATGGTGATTTAAACACATTATGAATTTCATTGTTGCTTCTCCCTCTCCACTCCCTGCTGTTATATCTGCATTCAAGTGCCGATCAGTCTACAAAAACATGAGTTTAGCATCATATGCCAGACATGGCCTGGTATGAAAAGCGTCCTTTCCAATTTAAAACTGCACATAAACTCAGTATCAACTCAAAAGAATATTGCATAGATCAAAATTACAAAGGCTATATCTACAAGTGATGCAATAATTCGCTCTCATTTAACGCCAGAAAGAGGGTGCTAAAATGTTACAAATAACCTGTTCTGCTGTATGGCAGTGAATCTTGGAATGTCAGTGAACAAATTAGGAAGAATGTGGAAGCAACAGAGATGTGGTTTCTGACATGAATGTTAGGAATACCTTGGATGGCCAAAAGTAACTAACAACGATTGCTTGAAAGAAGCTAATGAAAGTAGATCTGTATAAACAACAATAAGAAAGAGACTAACACTGTTCTTTGGCCACATAATGAGAAGAGAGACATTAGAGAACATCGTGACAACTGGAAAGATTAGTGGGAAAAGGGGTAGAGGCAGACCAAAAGAGATAACACTAGATGGGCTAAAACGATTGCAGGGAGGGATATCATCAAGAGAGCTGTTCCAGGCAACCAGGGATCGTGATCTGTGGAGATGCATGAGCGCCTACGACAGTTGTCAGGGCACATTGATGATGATGATATAAACACAGCTACATACATCAATTCTATCCAAAACTTCCAACAGTCTGTGGTCTCCATCAGACTGCTTCCCTGGTTTCAAGGCAGCATTCAGAGTTGTCAGCTGTCGCAGCAATGCAGAAATATCCTGGTAATGAGATGGAAGGCCCTCCTTCAGCTCCTGGTAAGGCAGTTGGTGGGCAAAAGTCTGAAGAGCTTTGACTGCTCCTCGGTAGACGGTCACAAGCTGGGACAATATCTGATTCTAAAGATAAATATAATAGGATAGGAATAAACTCACAGGGAGCAAGTACAGCAGGGATCTACCAGTCGTCAGTAGAAATTAACTAATAAATGGGCATTATCAAGTTGGCATTATATCTGATTGCTCAGATCAACAAAGAACTAATTAGCCTGGGTAATATTATACTACTGTCTTAAATACACAAAGGAAGCCACGGTGGTGTAGTGGCTAGATGCGCTTGTCAGTTCAGGCCCTGAAGGAGCCAGACTTTACAACAACAAGAAAAACTACTAGGTTCCCAGGTTGACCCAGTTGACATCACCTATGGCGTGCTGATTGGTCTATAAAATATAGGTCTAGCCCTATATGCCTAAAACACCTGAAGTAATTGTAAATACAAACAGAATTGATTAAGTGAGCAGTACCTGACTGCCACAATTTCTGATTCTTTAGACAACAAACAACAACAAAAGAGCTGATTGCGTGAGATAATATCTTCTTGTTTTGATAAATATATAAAAGACAACAAATCAAATGGTTCAGACATGGATCAAGACTGTTACAGGACGGTGTATCACACAGAGCCCTGTCACACAGACATAAGTGAAGCAGAGCTAAAGGTTGCTGGTACAACAAACAGACGGAATACTGAAGACCATGAATAACAGCATCTATGCCGCATGCACCAAGGCACACATCAGGTGCCGTTTCAAAACCTGATGCTGACAGATATAAAGGGAGCCAGAAATATAACAGAAAGATGAAGAAGACTACTACGTAAGCTGGAAATGTCACAATAAACAAGATAAGTAAGTAAAACCACAAGTCCTAAAATGAAGACTTCAGAAAGATGTACCAACCAATGAATCAACATCCAACGAGCCAATGAAGCCATCACTCAACTAATCCTTCAATCAATTATCTAAGCAATCAATTAATCAATCAAGTTATCAGTAAAACACGCAATCGATTTAAAAACCAACCCATCAATCAACAAACTCATAAATTAGTCAGTAAACCAACAAATGAATCAATCAATCAACTCATCAATCCACTAACTTATCAATTAACCAACCTGTTATCAACTAACTTATCAATTAACCAACTCGTCAATCAACTAACTTATCAATTACCCAACCTGTCAATCAACTAACCTATCAATTAACCAACCTGTCAATCAACTAACCTATAAATTAATCTTCCCATCAATAAACTAACTTATCAATTAACCAACCCATCAATAAACTAACTTATTAATTAATCAACCTGTCAACTAACATCATTTAATCAATCAACCAACACACCAATCAATCAGACAACACATCAATTAACCAACATATTAATCAATCAAGCAACATATCTATTATTCAATCAATAACCTGTGGATTAACCATATTTCTCATTACCTTTCGAACTGACTTGCAGGACTCATGATGAGCTGCATCCCGCTGCACTTGTTTCATCTTCAGTTTCAAGTTATACAAATTACGAGTTAATCTTGTGTTCTGCTCCTCGACACGGATCCGAACTCGGTCCAAATTCTCCTCCTCAAGCAAAAATTCATCTTTTCGATTTCCTTTCATGGGTGGGCGGGTCAATCTGAGACCTGGTTCTGCAGAAGTCAATTAACTGGTATTTTAATACCCAACATGAGATACAGGTAAAGTTTTGTACCATGATACTTTAATAACACACAGAAATATTCAGAGTAATTAAATCAACAGATATAGCTCTTCCCTACATGAAAAATTAAATCAACAGATATAGCTCTGTCTTACATGAATAATTAAATCAACAGATATAGATCTTCCCTACATAAATAATTAAATCAACAGATATAGCTCTTCCTTACATAAATAATTAAATCAACAGATATAGCTCTTTCTTACATGAATAATTAAATCAACAGATATAGCTCTTTCTTACTATGAATAATTAAATTAAATCAACAGATATAGCTCTTCCTTACATAAATAATAAAATCAACAGACATAGATATTCCTTACATGAATAATTAAATTAACAGATAGAGCTATGCCTTACATAAATAATTAAATCAACAGATATAGCTCTTCCTTACATGACTAATATAATAAACAGATATAGTTATTCCTTACATGAATAATTAAATCAACAGATATAGCTCTTCCTTACATAAATAATGAAATCAACAGATATATATATATATTCCTTACATAAATAATTAAATCAACAGATATAGCTCTTCCTTACATAAATAATGAAATCAACAGATATATATATATATTCCTTACATAAATAATTAAATCAACAGATATAGCTATTCCTTACATAAATAATTAAATCAACAGATATAGCTCTTCCTTACATAAATAATTAAATCAACAGATATAGCTCTTTCTTACTATGAATAATTAAATTAAATCAACAGATATAGCTCTTCCTTACATAAATAATAAAATCAACAGACATAGATATTCCTTACATGAATAATTAAATTAACAGATAGAGCTATGCCTTACATAAATAATTAAATCAACAGATATAGCTCTTCCTTACATGACTAATATAATAAACAGATATAGTTATTCCTTACATGAATAATTAAATCAACAGATATAGCTCTTCCTTACATAAATAATGAAATCAACAGATATATATATATATTCCTTACATAAATAATTAAATCAACAGATATAGCTCTTCCTTACATAAATAATGAAATCAACAGATATATATATATATTCCTTACATAAATAATTAAATCAACAGATATAGCTCTTCCTTACATAAATAATTAAATCAACAGATATAGCTCTTCCTTACATAAATAATTAAATCAACAGATATAGCTCTTCCTTACATGAATAATTAAATAAACAGATATAGCTCTTCCTAACATGAATAATATAATAAACAGATATAGTTATTCCTTACATGAATAATTAAATCAACAGATATAGCTCTTCCTTACATAAATAATGAAATCAACAGATATATATATATATATTCCTTACATAAATAATTAAATCAACAGATATAGCTCTACCTTACATAAATAATGAAATCAACAAATATATATATATATATATATATTCATTACATAAATAATTAAATCAACAGAGCTCTGCCTTACATAAATAATTAAATCAACAGATAGAGCTCTTCCTTACATGAATAATTTAATAAACAGATATAGCTCTGCCTTACATGAATAATTAAATCAACAGATATAGCTCTTCCTTACATAAATAATTAAATCAACAGATATAGCTCTTCCTTACATAAATAATTAAATCAACAGATATAGCTCTTCCTTACATAAATAATTAAATCAACAGATATAGTTATTCCTTACATGAATAATGAAATCAACAGATATAGCTCTTCCTTACATAAATAATGAAATCAACAGATATATATATATATTCCTTACATAAATAATTAAATCAACAGATATAGCTCTTCCTTGCATAAATAATTAAATCAACAGATATATATATATATTTCTTACATAAATAATGAAATCAACAGATATATAAATATTCCTTACATAAATAATGAAATCAAAAGATATATATATATATATTCCTTACATAAATAATTAAATCAACAGAGCTCTGCCTTACATAGATAATTAAATCAACAGATAGAGCTCTTCCTTACATGAATAATTTAATAAACAGATATAGCTCTGCCTTACATGGAAAATTAAATAAACTGATGTAGATCTTCCCTACATGAATAATGAAATTAACAGATAATTAAAGCTTTACCAGAGATAGCTTTCTGCTGTATGTGCTCAATCAGTGAAAGATAACCTTCTGCTTCTTGTTGTAACCTTTCCATCTCATCTTTGGGTTCATGTTCCCCTTGAGAACTGAATGGCTTTGTGGGAAAGAAGACATCTGAGTCTGCAGACGCATTGATTGATGCTATGAAACAAAGGAAAATTAACCTTTAGGACATGTAAGAACAGTCGACAGAAGAAAAAAAAGCAAAAAAAAAAAAAAAAAAACATGAACAAGATATGAGGAATGGCTAAAAAAAATATTTTTAAAAAGTAATTAAATTGAAAACTAAGAAATCAGAAGACTAGCAGTCATAACATAACATAACATAACATAAGCCTTGACCCTTTTGGGTCGTGGAGGTGTACTGATGGAAGCACAAGCACATAAAACCCACCATCTTTCTCTGACCTCCGCTTGATGAATAAATGTATGATAACTTAGTCCTGTGTTCATTTCTTGATGTTGTCATTCCAGGTACATCTTTGCCCTGCTCTTCTTCCACCATCCCCCCAATATTCCTCAAAGGAATAAAAATTTAAAAAGTAATAGACGTTTTGGCCATCTGATGAGATTGCCCTGGAACAAACAGTCATGCTGAAGAATTAGAATGAAAACAAAGTAAGGGAAGAGCTCGCAAAAGATGGATTGGGAGCATCAATAACAGTTTTCAACAGAATAAACATCATCTTATGCAACATGTTTGAATAAGCACACAGAAGTTCCATAATGCAGCCCCATCCCCCCCCCACCCCCAACCACTAAAAGTATGATGAGGTAATTGGAGGCAGAGAAGAAGAAACAAGATGACTGTAAATTGTATACACTCAAATGCTGAAGTCCCAGTGTGGGTTCTAGTGCCCATTTAGGGGGGCGAGGATGGAGGATAAGTAAGTGTGGACTCGTGGTAACACATGGACAACCTCTACCTATCACATAAGTGTGGACTCGTGGTAACACATGGACAACCTCTACCTATCACATAAGTGTGGACTCGTGGTAACACATGGACAACCTCTACCTATCACATAAGTGTGGACTCGTGGTAACACATGGACAACCTCTACCTATCACATAAGTGTGGACTCGTGGTAACACATGGACAACCTCTACCTATCACATAAGTGTGGACTCGTGGTAACACATGGGCAACCTCTACCTATCACATAAGTGTGGACTCATGATAACACATGGACAACCTCTACCTATCACATAAGTGTGGACTCAAGGTAACTTATGGACAACCTCTTCCTATCACGTAACTGTGGACTCGTGGTAACACACAGGCAACCTCTACCTACTACATAATTGTGGACTCGTGGTAACACGTGGATAACCTCTAACTATCACATAAGGGCGGACTTGTGGTAACACATGTACAACTTTTATCAATCACAAAAGTGTGGACTCGTGGTAACACGTGGACAACCTCTACCTATCACATAAGGGCGGACTTGTGGTAACACATGTACAACTTTTATCAATCACAAAAGTGTGGACTCGTGGTAAAACGTGGACAACCTCTACCTATCACATAAGGGCGGACTTGTGGTAACACATGTACAACTTCTATCAATCACAAAAGTGTGGACTCGTGGTAACACGTGGACAACCTCTACCTATCACATAAGGGCGGACTTGTGGTAACACATGTACAACTTCTATCAATCACAAAAGTATGGACCCATAGTAAAACATGGACAATCTCTACCAATCACTTAAATATGGACCCATGGTAACACATGGACAACCTCTACCTATCACATAAGGGTGAAATCATGATTACACATGATCAACCTCTGCCTGTCAGATAAGTACTAACAACTTACCATTTCTAGCAGACATGAAATAGTCATCGCTCCTGAAATGTGCCACTGGTTTCCTGGGTGGTGGGGTCTGGACTGCACCCAGCCGACGATTCTTATCTGTTTCTTTAGCTGTGAGAGGCCTCCGTGGTTTCATGATTTCTGGTCTAGAAAACCTTTCATGTGAGTTCTTTTGGTGCAGACGAGTGCGAGATGGGGAAGATGCTGGACTTGGTGAACCTGAGCTAGGACTGTTCCTTGACATCTGTTTTTTACAGGGGGGAAAAACTATTGAAGATGTTTTTAAAAAATGTCCCTATTGTATTACCACTTTCAATCAGATATGGTTTTAAAATTGAAACTCAATTTAGCACAATAACCACAGTTAAAAAAGGCACCAGTGTATGACTTTCAAAGATACAGCATATTCTGATTTGCATTTTAACTATTTGGCCAGACTTTTTTTGCATACCCAGACCAAACACAGAATAAATAATAACACACAATATGTTGTGTTGATACACACAGGCATAAGTTTGTGGGAGAAAGAATTACCAGTCAGTCTGGGATGCACGGGTGCATCACCATACTGTTGGCACTACGCCCATGTCATCCAAGTACTAAATTACTGTTTCAGAAAATCGTGTCTCAACATTTCACTTCAACTGAAAATGGTGCAATTGCATTAAAAATAATATATTCTTCTTTGCATTTACTGGCTGTAAACCCCAGTGACAAAAATATGGTTGATCATATCCGTTTTACAGATCTGACTTCTTTGTATGCAAACTGTTGGTTTCTTGCCTCTCAGGCAAATATACTCTGACTTCAAATGATACATCCCTAATAAGTGGACTTTTGCAACATGCTTGTTGCAGTGTGGGGGTGGGAGTGGGGGGATGGGGGGGAGGGGGGTGGGAAACTGTGAATGTCCAATGACATGCCATATAAGAAGTTCATAGTAATTTCACACTGTGTCGTCCAATCTGTGTTAGTGCTTTAATGCAGCTTTGTTGAAGTGCCAATAAATTAAATTTATCTTTAACATTATCGACCACAGACATTTCATTCCTGTGAGTGGTTCTTCTAGGGGTGCCAGCAGATTCATTTACGTGGAGCCCCATAATGCTGTTAAGACCCCTCCCCTCCCCCGCCCATAAAAATATTTCATTTGGGCCTATTTGGAGTAAGTACTCATGTTCACCTCTAAAGTGACAAATAAGTCCTGAAAATGCACTTAGAAGGAAATGACCGCAACTGAACTTAGATGACAAGACACAGTGCCAATGACATGGTGGTGCATCAGGACCAACTGGTAAGATCACCTGGTGCTCGCTGGTCAATAGCCTCCACTGGAAGGTTCCGGGAAAAATTAGAACCAGGGGAGTCAGAATAATGAACTCTAACCTGTGACTGAAGATGTCTGTTTCGTAAATCTCTTTTTGCCAACTGTGACATCATCTCCATCTTGTCCTGGGACAACGACGAGTAATTAAATACTGAGTCTCCACTGTTCCTCTCAGGACCTGGAAAAAAAAAGTTTCATAATGAGAAGCAGAACTAGTCAGCAACTTCGTCTTGAAGTCCGTGCCGTGTGGCATTGGCAGTCATGTATGTTGATGCTGAATTCAGAATTGAAATCACAGTACTCGGACACTCCCATAAGCACTCTGTTCCCATCTTCACCAGCAAGCAAAGAGTTCCAATTCCTATGACAAGAGTAACTATCTGACTGTACATCCTTCTCGCCTTTCCCTTGAGCGTTCAGGATCGGCCAGATCCCCTGGTAACTCCTTGCAGCGCCATTCTCCTCAGACGTAATAATCTTTTTGGTGCCTCTGCACTGTTCACTCATTAGAAGGGTTTAGCCAAACAAGTGCACTGTGCAGGAAACCAAAGCACACACAAAACAACACAGAACTGGTGTCATCAGCTGCTACACATTGCTGGATTTATGGAGAAGGGCATCTGAGCACTTATGTACTGAATGGTTCAATGAGCAATAAAGATAATATGTTGACTGTCATAAAAATATTTTTTAAGAAAGAAGATCACTCCATCCACATTTGAAAACAAAGTCTTGGTGATGCATGATCTCATTAAACAGTAGATTCCCACTGTGGACAGACAACAGACAAGAAGTATTTTCACTGTGGACAGACAACAGACAGGAAATATTTTCACTGTGGACAGACATCAGACAGGAAGTATTTTCACTGTGGACAGACAATAAACAAGAATTATTCCCACTGTGAACAGACAATATACAGGAATTATTCCCACTGTGGACAGACAATAAACAGGAATAATTCCCACTGTGGACAGAGAATAAACAGGAAGTATTCCCACTGTGGACAGACAATAAACAGGAAGTATTCCCACTGTGTAAACAAGAAGTATTCCCACTGTGGACAGACAATAAACAGGAAGTATTCCCACTGTGAACAGACAATAAACAGGAATTATTCCCACCTTGGACTGGCAACAGACAGGAAGTATTCCCATTGTGGACAGACAAGAGACAGGAAGTATTTTCACTGTGGACAGACAATAGATAAGAAGTATTCTCACGAAGGACAGACAATAGATAGGAAGTATTCTCACTGTGGACAGACAATCGACAGGAAGTATTCCCACTGTGGAAGACAATAGATAGGAAGTATTCTCACTGTGGACAGACAATAGATAGGAAGTATTCTCACTATAGACAGACAATAGATAGGAAGTATTCTCACTATGGACAGACAATAGATAGGAAGTATTTTCACTATGGACAGACAATAGATAGGAAGTATTCTCACTATGGACAGACAATAGATAGGAAGTATTCTCATATTGACAGACAATAGACAGGAAGTATTCTCACTGTGGACAGACAATCGACACAAAGTATTCCCACTGTGAACAGACAATAGATAGGAAGTATTCTCACTATGGACAGACAATAGATAGGAAGCATTCTCACTGTGGACAGACAATCGACAGGAAGTATTCACACTGTGGACAGACAATGGACAGGAAGTATTCACACTGTGGACAGACAATAGACAGGAAGTATTCTCACTGTGGACAGACAATAGATAGGAAGTATTCTCACTATGGACAGACAATAGATAGGAAGTATTCTCACTATGGACAGATAATAAATAGGAAGTATTCTCACTATGGACAGACAATAGATAGGAAGTATTCTCAATATGGACAGACAATAGATAGGAAGTATTCTCACTATGGACAGACAATAGATAGGAAGTATTCTCACTGTGGACAGACAATCGACAGGATGTATTCCCACTGTGGACAGACAATAGAAAGGAAGTATTCTCACTATGGACAGACAATAGATAGGAAGTATTCTCACTATGGACAGACAATAGATAGGAAGTATTTTCACTATGGACACACAATAGATAGGAAGTATTCTCACTATGGACAGACAATAGATAGGAAGTATTCTCACTATGGACACACAATAGATAGGAAGTATTCTCACTGTGGACAGACAATCGACAGGAAGTATTCCCACTGTGGACAGACAAAAGACAGGAAGTATTCTCACTATGGACAGACAATAGATAGGAAGTATTCTCACTATGGACAGACAATAGATAGGAAGTATTCTCACTGTGGACAGACAATCGACAGGAAGTATTCCCACTGTGGACAGAGAATAGATAGGAAGTATTCTCACCATGGACAGACAATAGATAGGAAGTATTCTCACTATGGACAGACAATAGATAGGAAGTATTCTCACTATGGACACACAATAGATAGGAAGTATTCTCACTGTGGACAGACAATCGACAGGAAGTATTCCCACTGTGGACAGACAATAGATAGGAAATATTCTCACTATGGACAGACAAAAGATAGGAAGTATTCTCACTGTGGACAGACAATAGACAGGAAGTATTCTCACTGTGGACAGACAATAGATAGGAAGTATTTCCACTGTGGACAGACAATAGATAGGAAGTATTCTCACTGTGGACAGACAATAGATAGGAAGTATTCACACTGTGGACAGACAATAGACAGGAAGTATTCTCTCTGTGGACAGACAATAGATAGGAAGTATTCTTACTATGGACAGACAATAGATAGGAAGTATTCTCACTATGGACAGACAATAGATAGGAAGTATTCACACTGTGGACAGACAATAGATAGGAAGTATTCTCACTATGGACAGACAATAGATAGGAAGTATTCTCACTATGGACAGACAATATACAGGAAGTATTCTCTCTGTGGACAGACAATAGATAGGAAGTATTCTCACTATGGACAGACGATAGATAGGAAGTATTCTCACTATGGACAGACAATAGATAGGAAGTATTCTCACTATTGACAGACAATAGATAGGAAGTATTCTCACTGTGGACAGACAATCGACACAAAGTATTCCCACTGTGGAACAGACAATAGATAGGAAGTAAACCCATAGAGGTAGGGTAAATTATATGTCCAGAGGTTACATGATTAGTGGAAGCCACATGACAAAAAATATTAGAGGTCACTTTATTAACACTTGTTACTTGTTGTACATGTCAACATCTTAGTACATCAGTTTGACCCACTCTTGCCCAACCCTCTGATGCAGAAGCCATCTCGGTGTCTCCACGCTCAGAGTGCCCAGTAGGTGTTCTTGCTCAACCCTCTGATGCAGAAGCCATCTCGGTGTCTCCACGCTCAAAGTGCCCAGTAGGTGTTGATTTGCAAATTTTTTACTTTACCTCACAGATATCTCTTCATGTTTGTCCTTGTTTAATACCCATTTTTAACAGCCGGTTTATCATCTCTAATTCTTTTGTTTCAACGTCTCTGGAAGGCAGCACATTCAATATGTCAGCCCGGTCTATACTTCTTCCTCCACAGAGACCTGCTGAAGTCAACCTTATGTGTGTTCTGGTCCAATTTGATGGACGGGAGGCTTATTGCTTTGAGTCATGGCTAATTTTTGCTTCTGACAAAAAAAAAGCTGTTGCATTTTCCTTAAATGTGGGCTGAAAGTATATAGTTCCGTCGCCCAACAACTGAGTTAAGTGTATGGCATGATACTGTAAGCTGCAGATTTGATTTGGAATTCTTCTCTGCTGTGCCCAATGTGGTTGCGTTGTAAACTGCATGTTCAGAAAATCGTGAGTGGCCTGTTACCAGAGAACTGGTGGTGCCTTTTGCAATTAACTGTCTGTGCAACCACTGATTTGTTGTAACTGCCGCTTCCACTGACGATGAACTCCATTTCTAGTGCCGGACTGTTTGTGCTGGCACTCCTGACTGCTGCCTTATGCATTTAATGTGTGTGTATGCTACTAGCCTTTCTAAGACTGCAGTCTTGACCAATGTTTTTCACAGATAACAGTGATGGACATTATGTGTGGCTTTTAGTGGCACAGAAGCGAAGCAACTTTGGGGTGACCTGTTTGCTATGAAGTTGAAACTGCGATTACATGATCTACTGTGAAGATGGAACCTAATTGACTGAATGACTGACAACACTAAAGAATGAAAAATAGCACCTGAAAATACTGTGAAGACAGCACCTGACTGACTGAATGACTGACAACACTAAAGAGTAAAGAGTATTATCTGATATACTGTGGAGATTGCACCTAACTGACTGAATGACTGACGAGACTAAAGAATTAAGAATATTACCTGACTGATCATGGAGATGGTACCTGAATGAATTAATGATAAGACTAAAGAATGAAGAATATTACCTGAAGTCTGCTTCGGAACAACTGTTGCAGGAAGTCCATGCTGCCCTCCAACCCTTTCGACAAATATCGGGGAAGGTCGACTGAACCTAACGGCCAAGTTTTGTGCAGTCAGTGGCACTCCAAGATTAAACTGTAGCTGGTTTTTATAAACTACCTGATAAGGTGCTGTTGCAGACATCACTGTTCAATCTGGCACATTTGAAACATACAGATATTATTACAAAATGATTATTAATACACTTTATATAGTTAATCAAAGGACCGCAGATATAAAGATCTTTTTTTTATCACAGATCTCAGTCTTTGCTGTTCTAGATCAATTCCACTGATGATATTCTTCCATGCCACTGTCCTAAGCCATCCGTCACCATTTCTCTCGGCCTGCCTCTGCCTCTCTTTCCAGTCATCATGATTTTTCCAGTGCTCCTGTTCTCATCACATGACCAAAGATCTTTGTTTGCCTCCTTTCATTGTTGTGTATAATGTTCACATTCCAAGATTCACTGCCATTCAACAGAACAGGCCTGATCATTTTGAGTTCTCTTTCTAATGTCCTGGCCAACCAAAGAGTGAATTAAGTTCAACTTCCAGAGGTCAGTGTGGCTCCTGGGTGAGCACAACTAGCAGTAACCCTGATACAGCTGTGTATCATTTACTGTAAATTTGTCTCTTTTGTCAACAGCAGACTTGAAGTACAACAGCAGACTTGAAGTACAACAGCAGACTTGAAGTGCAACATCAGACTTGAAGTACAACAGCAGACTTGAAGTACAACAGCAGATTTGAAGTACAACAGCAGACGAAGTACAACAGCAGCAAGCAGCCAAGAATCCTCACTTGGGTGGGCCTCCCCCAGAGAGTCTCAAGAAAGCAAAGGGACTGAAATGCTCGACAAATTGGACTTCTTCTGATGATTAGAAGCCTCCTGTTGTGTTCACTCCTTCGAGTTCTTTCTACAGTCTTCACTTCTCTAAGACTGTTCTTGATGCTGTTGTTTCATCATGAAACTGACAGGAATTTCTTTGTCTTAACGTCTCTGGAAAGCAGCGCAAGAAATGAACATTTCACTAAGGGGACAAGACGTTTCATTACCCAACACAGAACAGGCGTCGTCAGTCGTTTTACACTTGTGGAACTTTTAAAGAGGAGACTGGAGCACCTATGGATCTGTATGGAATACTGTGATGATAATCCTTTCTAATCACTGACAGGAATCAACATGCAAGATTACAACCAATATAATATACATATAATATATATACTTTTTAGTGGGTAGGTTTTTTTGTTTTGAAAGTCAGTTTGAGAAGTGACCTACATTCTTCTTAGAGGAATGTTGAGATGACAAGTCTTGAGTATTGTCAGTTAAAGTAAAGTTTTTGGCCCCAGAAAGTGAATGACTTCCCTTCCCATTCATGCCATGTTGTCTTGCGAGGCCTCTCCTATGTTGCAGGGGTGTTATGATATGGCTTGGTTTGGTGTTCACTCAGCGTTTGGGGAAGGTTGTGTTGTCGTGGGTCTTTTTGAGGCGCCGCAGGTGCCTGTATACAAGTAAGAAATACTGCAGGGGAGAGCGCCACAGGTGCGGCGATTCGTGAGTATCGAAACTAGGATGTTTTTGTATTTCTACAATCGTTGGCAGTGGCTTTCCCGTGAGACAGAGAAGGCACTGTCAAGGAATGCAGAAATACAAAAACATCCCATTTTCAATACTCATGAACTGTCCCGCAGTTAGCAGAACATGAAAATAATCACGCAAGTGAGAAGCCAAGAAAACAGAGTGGTTAATGTGTTGACAATAAAGAATAAATGACACCCTCGTAACATAGGACAGGCCCTACGACGCGATGAGGCATGAATAGGAAGGGAAGTCACTTCATTTCTGCGGTGGAAAAAGTTACTTCAACCCACCTCCTAATTGTGAAGCATGTGGAGAAAAATGGGTGTGGAAAATCAGATACAACTAATATCAGAAATAATTCAATCTTCCTCTGCAAAACCCTGCTCCAAGATGTGGAGTCATACTCTTATTTAGCAAGATGTGGAGTCATTCCCTTATTTAGCAAGATGTGGAGTCATACCCTTATTTATGCAGTAATGTATTGGTAGGGGGAAGTGGGGTAAAGAAGGCAAATCTAATGGTCAGCCCACTTGGAGAGAATGCCTTCGGATGCTATACCATTCAGGGCATTTACAAAAAGAGGAGAGGGACGTAGAGCAAGAGGTAGACCAAGAACAATATGGAAGGATAACATCTGAGAAACTCTACAGTACCAGAATGTGCCTTTGGTCGAAGCAGCCAGAAAAGCACGAAACAGGACCTTATATCTCCCTCAACACCTGAAGCGGGTAAAAGAGGACATAAAGAAGAAGAAGGGGAGTGGGGGCGGACAAATAGAGAACTATGAAAACAAAAGGCAAGAAAGGTTTACACAGCTCGAGGAAATCAGTTAGATAGAAGGGTCATTTTTATTTCAGTGGTGCATTAAGCATATGATGCTCAAATAATAATCTTATAGAACAACGGGCATTCAATCATTGAATCAATGGGCGATGTGGTCAACATCACAAGGGCTGAAAAAGTTTAGGTACTTTGTTATTTTGTGAACAGGTGTTTTCTTCTAAAACCATCAAGCTTTACAGGCGCTGATAAAAATGAAAGAGCTAACAGGTTGGCTTGATCCACTATCACTACCGACGGTCAAACTATGGATAATGCTAATATTATTAATGCCCTCCAAGAAATTAGAAGTGTGGAGGACTTTGGGGGCAGTGAATCCACAACACTCGCCAGAATGATAGATTTGGGAGTTAAAAGCAGCATAGCAAAAAACGAGACGCAAACCATACAGTAACACACCAAAAGACTGAGGCCCTGTTAGGGTATATTTTCGGCCTCGATAATTTAGGATCGTTATTCGGAAGATAGCCGTTTAGTTTACTCGTTCGTTTATTTAATTATACCCAAAACTTCTAAAGTAGTGATAATAATTATAATATCATTTCAAATAACTAACTGATATTACTTCCCTTAAAATATATGACATATATTGCTTTAGCTTTGCGTTCTAACGAGACAGTAACAACCCCTGCCACCGCATAAAAGTAAAAAAAAAAAAAGCCGCCACAGAGTGAGGAGATAGCTAAGTTACATATATTTGATATATAATTATATAAGTATACAAGTTATAAAAGAAACATATAAAATTATAAACAACAACAAACTTACATACACAACGTTTTAGGCTCATAGATTACATTCCAAACATAATCAACAGGATTTCAGCAACCATATTGTAGATCGTATGTCAATGCTTATGTAGAATAACTCTACCATGCATCTTACTGTTAAGAAAATTCAATTTTAAATTGTACGTTTTTAAAACTCTGCAAGTGAAAACTTGAATATTTACAGACCGGATGTTGATTATTTTAGAGTTGTCTTTCTTCATTGAAGAGAGTCGTGTCCCATAGAGTCCTTAGCAACTGACTTTATATATATAAATTTTAATCATATATATCTATATATATACGGGTCTTCTTCTTTTTCTTCACTTCCCCTTTACCGCTGTGGGTGTCGAGGGAGATAAAAGGTTCTGTTTCTAGCTCTTCTGGCTGCCTCGACCATAGGCACATCGTGCTGTTGTGGAGTTTCTCTGATGTTATCCTTCCATCTTGTTCTTGGTCTACCCCGTGCTCTACGACCTTCTTCTCTTTCCATGTATGCTTTGTATGGTATGGTGTCACAAGGCATTCTCTCTAAGTGGGCAAACCATTTCACTTGCTGTCTTCCATTTCACTTGCTGTCTTAAAAAGTCGATGGTGTTATTTTGGTACAAGTACAGAAATTTAAGTATCTGGTCATGGACGACTGACTGACTTTCTACCCAAGGATAAACACCCGATGACACAAAGTGCCACCATGTGGATGAGGATCACCGTGGAGAGGTCCCAGAAACCGTGTTCAGACAATTGGCCATATTTATAGTCTGCCTATATTGCGGCCCCTGGAAAAAGCCAGGGTGGGGTTTCAAATAACAAAAAATTCCATCCTAAAAAGGACGTAAGGCTTACTATCAGGTCATGGATAACAATAATAACATCAGATGGAAGATACATAACTGAGATAAGAAACAGAATAGGGCAGGCAAAATCTGCATTTTATATGGCTGTGGATCCTGGACAATCAGTTGGCAGGCCGAACAATTTCTTGTGGTAAATGAGCCGACAGTATCTTGTTCTTAGACCGATATTGTTTTCTACTGTCTGTTGATTGTGAATGTTTGCTGTTGGTTTGATCTCTCCATAATCTCTTGTATTTTCTCTTGATAAGTGATCTGATTTATGATACTGACGATGAAAGGGTGTGGTGTTTCTCTTTTGTTCCATTCGTGCAAGTCTGTCCGCCAACTCATTTCCTGCTATGCTGCAGTGAAGCCGGGATCCATCGGAAAACGATTTGACTGTTTTCTGAAAGTGTTTAGTGTGGGTTTTTTTCACCGGCAGGTCACTTCACTGTCCATGGTGTTTGATATGGCCACATTTTTACAGTTTAGGGCGGTCTACGTGGCCATGTAGTAAAGTCGTTTGCCCAGTGCCCTGAAGGTCATGGGCTCGTTTCATAGACAGGTTCAACTGATGAGTGCAGTTTGTACGGAGAGCCCGGGGTACCGTCGTCGGAGTTCGTGCTTTGAGCGATGTTCTTGGCAAGTGGCTATCCATTCTGCTGAGAGGGATGAGTCACATGGGAACAAATAATGGGTGTCAATGCACTCAGGGAGAGTCCACCTTCAACCATTATTCTGAAGAACTGATATCACTGCACTCAGGACATATCCAAAATCCAAAAGCAACCCTCATTATGAGGAAGTGACATCGCTGTGTTGGGAACATATTTATTTTCAACCTGTGTTATGAAAAATTTACATAATTCTACTCGGGACACAGCTTTCTTCAACTCTTATTATGAAAAAAATGACGTTACTGCACTCGGGACAAATGAAGAACTGACATCACTGCATTTGGAGCATTTCAATCTTCAGCACTTAATATGAAAAAATCAGTATCTCTGCACTTGGGTCCTGCCCATCTTTAAATCCTCAAAGATAAGGATTCATCACTACATATGTCAGTGTGCAAAACACATGGAGATTACGCGATATGAAAAAGTATGATCACTCA